GCAGCGACAAAGTGGCCAATGTCATTGTCAGTGAGAGTTGGTGATCTGAGATGACATGACCAACATGCGGTTGAGAAAAGTTCAAACTATATGTAAATGACCAGTGATGTAATGCGGTAGCTACCAATGAAAGTGAAGACAAAGGAAGGCACACGTTAATAATACTGACACAAAACCATCCATCCATCCATCCATCCATAAACTGCAGATTTATTCATCTTGGTTAATGTTTATTTCTATACATACTAATGTATTTTTAACATTTTGTATAAATGACCTAATGCATTTACTAATGCTAATTAAATGAGCTTTATTGCAAATATTATATATTTATTTTTCTTAGTGAAGCTGGCCTGTGCCAAAGTCATCTCCTCAAAGCACGTTGTGGTTGGTTGCCAGGGTGTTGCTGTGTGGTTGCTAAGGTGTTCTGTGTGGTTGCTAATTTGCTTACTGTCTCAAGTCAAAAGAGTCCACCCTGCTGTCCTCTATTATTTTGGCCAGCACCATACTTGACAGTTTGACCTAGAGGCGCACTTACATTTACATTTATTCATTTAGCAGACACTTTTATCCAAAGCGACTTACAAATGAGAACAATAGAAGCAGTTAAACTAACAGTAGGACAACAATATGCAAGTGCTATGACCCTATGCTATGATTTTTTTTTTTTTTTTTTTTTATATAATAGAAGAGAAAGTGTTAGTGTTACTGGATCAAGTGCTGCCGAAAAAGATGTGTCTTCAGCTGTTTCTTGAAGTGGCTACTGACTCCGCAGCTCTGGTTGAGTTGGGCAGATCATTCCACCAGCAGGGAACAGACATGGTAAAGGTCCGAGAAAGAGATTTTGTGCCTCTTTGAGACGGTACAGTACCACAAGACGACATTCGCTTGCAGAGCGCAAGTTTCTGGATGGCACATAAGTCTGAAGTAATGAGTTTAAAAGGGAGCAGTGCCAGTGGTTGTTCTGTAAGCAAATGTCAGTGACTTGAATTTAATGCGAGCGGGAATTGGCAACCAGTGCAATTTTGTGAGGAGAGGAGTGACGTGTGCTCGCTTCGGCTCATTAAAGACCACTCTGGCTGCAGCATTCTGGATCAGTTGCAGAGGTTTGACAGAGCAAGCTGAAAGCCCAGCCAGGAGAGCATCACAATAGTCCAGTCTAGAACAAGTGCTTGAGCAAGGAGTTGTGTAGCATGCTCTGTTAAGGAATATCCTGATCCTCCTAATGTTGTGCAAGGCAAATCTACATGACCGGGCAGTTCTAACAATGTGGTCTGTGAAGTTCAATTGATCATCAATTACAACCCCCAAGATTCCCGGCTAACCTTGATGGAGTTATGGATGATGAGCCTAGCTGAATGGAGAAGTTGTGATGAAGTGTTGGGTTGGCCGCACGTGTGTTTTTAAGAATTCAGGAGTCTCTCTCCATAGTTTTCTGTAACTTTTTTCAAACTTTGTGAAACAGTTTTCATCTCCACATATTTGAAACTCTTTTGGTGTAGAGTACCAGTGGGAGTGCTGCATTAGATTGCATTTTTTTTAAGTCTAAGTTTAATGCTTTCCCATGATTCCCCAGTTAATCAAGATCTCAGCGGGGTTCCGTCATGGATGCGGCACCACTGATATTCAACAAGCTATCAGACCGTAATCTGTGTATTTGGCCTTCAGCAGCCGAGGCTTGCGGTTCGCTGATTAGAAATTCAGCATACATGACATTGATGATATGGCTGAGTGACTTTTTGAGACTGCCCTTGGCCATTGCAGTTGGTTTTACAAGTTAAAGTAAGCTTAATATCTTGAGATTTAATGTCACAAGACTGCAAAGGTGAATGTGATTTTGCCTGGATCAACATTCCAATCAACCAATCAGTTTGAGGGACAAGTTTACAGTTTATGTCAAGTTTAGGCTTACAGCCAGGGTTAGGTGCTTCTACATCAGTGTTATTCTCTTATCATTTCCTTCTGATTTTAAGGATACGTTATGGATAGGGTTAGATTTAGGGGTGGGGAGGGACATTTTTTAACAGGAATGTTGTTCTGTCATGACAACTCTCAGTGAGATTGGCATGGTAATGGAAATGGCAATGTTAATGTATGTGGTCTTGGAGGAATTTATCTGCTAATCTTCTTATCTGCTAATCTGCAGATCTATACAGGTGGACCTGGGGAAGGTGGAGGGTTTCTAAAGCACACTGCAATACTACCGGTATTTGAATGTTGAGCCGCAGCTCATTGGCCTCTGATGCAATAACAACCAATCAGCTGCACTATGTAGATGACGATGCGATTGCTACCAAATTGAGTTAAGGACCTATCAGCCTGCGCCATCTAGAGTTTCATGCCAGAACTTGGTATTTCCAGGGTCAACAAAATAGTTTAATCCAGGAACATGTCTGTCTTGCCAAAATCATGCTGACCAATCTGCAACATTACTGTACAACCAGAACATTTGTGTGTTTTAAAGGTGCTTTAATGTTTTTTTGTGTGTGTGTGTATTGAATACAACACATAAGCTCTCCCATTCTAATCAACTATCTCTGAAATAAGGTGCTGTGATATAAGTAATATCTCGGTGACAGCCTGTAAATAGTCAAAAAGAACAAGGTGGAAGTTCAGAAAACAGCTAAATTCACTGCACCTTTAATAGATACAGAGCACACACAAACTAGATTCATTTAGTTTAAAATAGATTTATTTTATTTTATTCATTTTTTTTTTTTTTTTTTTTTATATATTTTTTTTATTTATATATATATATTTTTATTTTTTATTTATTTTTTATTAGACATATTTTTGTCATTGCATTTAACTTGGGTCCATACGTGTATGTACTGTATGTCTTTGTTTTTTGTTTTTTTGCTCATTTAGTGGTCCAACAGGCGAATATTGCAATCGTCTGATTTCTTATATACAGCACTCCCCTCTTCTTCAAACCACATCGTTTAAAGGATAATTCATGTTTAAAGCACAAGGTCGAAATGCAATACTTATGGTTTGGCGATTTGTCTAAAGTGTTGCTTGCCTTAGCAACATCACTAAATTAACGTAATACCTCATAGATTACACAGCCGTTTCCTTCCACCAGGAATCACAGGAGTTTGCTGAGGAATTACTTTTGAGCAATCAGGAAAAAAGTTTTCCTATAATCAACCAGTTGCAATAATCCTAAAAGCCTTGAGAAAGACCCTCAGTAACACAGAAAGAGGGATTGAGATTGAAAGGAAGTGAGAGGAAAGGAGGGCATCCTCCCTCAAGGAGTTACTGTCAGTGAGAGAGAAGGAATGAGTCATGGCTGATCAAAGCCTCCAATAGCAGCGCAAGACAGACTCTTCTCGTGCTGCTCAACAACCCCACAGAACAATTAAGATATCATGAACATCTCTGGTGGCCCAAAGTCATCCGAAAATCCACTTCAGGGCAGAACCGAGAAAGACAGGGAGTGGGGGAGAGAGAGGGCAGAGTTCGGACGCAAGCAGACACTACAAATTAAGATTTACAAGCTACCGCTGCACTCTTAAACTTTAGCTTTAATTGCTGGCACACTGCGCGGCCTCTCTCGCCTTCTCTTTCTCGTTCTTTCTTTCTTATTTATGGAGGCTAAATGCCCTTGTTTTGACATACATTGCATCTTCATTGCCCATGTAACGTACATAGCCGACAGTAGACGGTGACATTTGCTATAACCCACCCAATTCAGTGGAAACACATGTTCTGTCAAGTGTATCATCAAAAAACAGGCTGCTCTTCCGTCCTTTACTCTCATTTTTCATATATGTTGTGACAGATGAGATGTGAAGAAAGTGCACTTCACACTGACCTGCTGCTGTCCTTTTTCAAAGAAGCTGCTGTCAGAGTGTGGTTTTCAATGTAGCACAAATGAAATCTGGCATCTACCAATGTTGTCTGGTCCTGTTTGCCGCTTAACAATCGCCAACGTAGAAAGAAAGACACTGACGTGTAACATTTAACAACCAGTTTTCATTTGCCGTTCAGGGACAGGTTATTCAGAAATGGATTAAACATAAAAATATACCTGCATGGAAAAATAAGTCTGTAATAGTATGTTTTTTTTATAATCTCATAATTTGACTAATTATTTGACGTTTATTTTTGATTATATTTAACAATATTAATTTATTGTGTTTTATTTAACAAATATGCTATAATATTTATATAACTGGTGTTAATAATTTCATATACCATTAAAAAGTTTGGGATCAGTACGATTTTGTAAAAGTTTTTAAAAGAACACTCTTATGCTCACCAAGACAGGATTTATTTGATAAAAAATGCAGCAAAAATGGTAATATTGTGAAATATTATTACAATTTAAAATAACAGTTTTCTGTTTTAATATATTTTAAAATGTAATTTATTTCTGTGATGGTAAAGCTGAATTTACAGCATCATTACTCAAGTCTTCAGTGTCACATGATCCTTCATAAAACATTATGCTGATTTGCTGCTTAAGAAACATTTCTTATTATTATCAATGTTGAAAACAGTTGTTCTGCTTAATATGTTTGTGAAAACTGTACTATCTATATTTTTTCAAGATTATTCTATGAATAGAACGTTTAAAAGTAATCAAAACATTTTGTTACATAAAAGTCTTTACTGCTCTTTAACGTCAATTTAACGCATCCTTGCTGAAGAAAAGTATTAATTTCTTAAAAAAACGTACTATGTAAAATATGTTAAATAATAAAATCTCTGATTTGAACAGGCAATATGATGAGGTCATGTGACAGCAATATACTATAACATTGTTTTATTCACAATGCATTGTTATATATACAAGCATGTACAGTATTATGCAGTATTTAGTTAATAGTAAGCTCATATTTCCGAAGATAATGGTCATTGACACTTTCTGTAGGCTGCATAAGTATATGGCGAATGTTGATTGCATGACTTTAAATATCGATTGGTATTCTGCCCCAGAGGTGTTCAGTCAATGTCTCAACATCAAGCTGAGAATTTATTTTCTGATCTTTCAGGAGTAAGGAGTGAACCCCTCCCCTCTGATTCAGATGGCAGACGGTCGGCAGCCCGAGGACAGCGGCCCCCAGTGGTCATCTCCGGGAGCCCAGGGCTCATCCTCCCCAGGTGGGCATGGAGAGAACGGCTTCTCTTCCTCCTACAGGGCTTGCCAGTCTGGTGGTGGCCATGCTGGTTCTGCCGCTTCGTACGCCAAAGAGAACGGCTTCAACGGAGACCTGACCTCTGGACACGCTGTGACTGCTGGTGAGAGCCAGATAATGCAATAATCATAGATGCCATTTCACATGAGATCCTTTCCAAGTTTTACATTGTCATATGGTAGAGGTCAAGTAGTCTTGGCTAGCCAGACTTGTGAATTGTGGCAAAGCATCTGGTCTTCATTGCAGTTTTCTGGCCAAGAACTGCCCACTTAGACAGGAAGAGGCTGTAAGACTGTATGTGTGTAAATATACAGTATACACTACTGTGCAAAAGTCTTTAGCATGTTAGTATTTTCACCCCCAAGAATGGTTTTAAGCCAGTAATATTTATCTATTGCTGAAGTGTGTCAGTATGAAATATCAGTTTACATTTCCAAACAATTAAATTTTGCCATTAAATGTAATAATCCAGTGAGATTTATATGCGCAAGGAGTCTGACAACAGCCGGTGCTCCACACGGAGATCTGATCTCACTATCATCGAGTCCATCAGTTATTACATGAAGAAACAGAACAAACTGAGACAGACTAAATCCAGAATAACTGTGGCAACGTTTCCAAGACTCTTGAAGAAACCTTCCTGCATTTATATTTTATTTATATAAAAATATATACACACACAATGATTTTTCATGTGACACTGAAGAGCCAGCAGTTTAAATTTTTTGTGTGCAGTATGCATGGATCAGATGTGGTGTGCCATCGAGGCTGAAACCAGAGGACCAGAGGTCAAAAGGGCAAAAGTAAAAACAAAATTGCGTCCCATTATTATAATGATTTTTGCATGAGTGAGGGCGGAATATGGTCGCAAAGTTCCTATTGCTGGAGGCTCAAAATGACTGAAATGTTATAATAGATAGTAGTTCAGCAGCCAAACTACATATTACCCACAGACGCTTTATCTTAATATTTCATAAAAAATAACACAAGCTCTCTCTGCGTTACATCCAGCATGACAGCTATAAATCCAAGTGAAAGGAATAACATAATTAACATAGAGTCAGAGTGAACAATTATGTCTGGGTTTTCCCATTTCAATGACAGACTAGGGTTAATAACAGTCTGTGTTGCCATTTTTAAAGTCATGGTGTGTCGTACATTTGCGCTTGTATCTCCAAAGCAGTTTAATCTTGTTTTTGGAGACCAGAGAGAGACGTCTCTGGCATGAGGAAGGAGGCTAGGCCAGAGCTTTTCTGTCTGGGTATTTATGAGGCCTCAGGGGTGTATGAGGAGTAAAATGAGGTGGTGCGTTTCTCATGTCAGCACAAAAAAAAAAAAAAAAAATGTTAAAGGAAAGATTGCAGGGATGCTGAACAAAGGTCTGGCAGAGTAAATTGCAAGGGAGCAGCTGCCATGGCAACCCTCTGATAGTGAAAGCTGCTGCTGTGAACCCTGCTCGGGGGGAGGGAGTGGTGCTGTTAATTACCCCGGTAATGATGGATCATAACTGCCTATTACATGCACACAAACAATACCAGCACTCCTGTATTTTGTAAGGCACAAGAACACGCACCATTACATGCATTTAATGGAAAATCTCACAAAAAGTGTCTTATTTAAAGGTTCTCTAAGCGATCCTGGGTGACGTCACTTCTTGTTGACGTTCGAACTATTGTCAAACAAAACGGAGGCTAGCTAGACCCTCCCTCCTCCTCATCCGCACACTAACCCCCCAAACCACACCCCCAAACCCTTCTTGTCGGTCATTGGCTGGAACAGTTTTTTTTTTTTTTGGGGAGCGGGTCGCTGCAGTTTGTTTTTGGTGCTGTTTGTGAAGCATGGGCTGTCTACAGAGATCGCGTTTCTTTACAGTGTGTTCAGGGGACAGGCAGCCAGCGGATAGTGAGGAGATGTTTGCTGTATGTGACAAAAAATGTTTTGGCCTAAAAAACACATGACATCGCTTAGAGCACCTTTAATCCCAAAATTGTAAAAAACGTACTCTACCATTAAAATTTTGGGGTCAATAAAACTTTTTTAAAAGAAATGAATACTTTTAATTAGCGAGCACACATTACATGGATAAAAAGTAACAGTAAAGACATTCATAATGCTACAAAAGAGTTTTAAATGAATTCTGTTCTTTTGAACTTTCTATTCATCAAGCAACAGTATAACAGCAACCTTTGAAAACCTTATATAGGTTAGTTATACTTTTGAATGGTAGTGTATAGAATTTTGCATGAAAAGTATTCTTATTTTTGAACTATTACGATTTATTTACAATGTGACATTTGCATTACAATTAAACATTTTATTCCAAATTTCACATTACTGAAATGTGATAAATCTGATTTGTGTTTCTTAAATGTTAAAAAATATCATTTTAATTGTATTACAGATCTGAAAAAACATCCTGCCACCCTCTTTATTCAGCATAAATTAATTGTCATTATGCATACTATTGCACTTTACAATTTAAAGATTTTTATTTTCATATTACAGTAGGTTACTGTTACGGGTGTGGTGCTGGTTGAAGGAGAGGCAGCAGTCAGCAGATCAAATTCAATAATCTTTACTCAATAAAACTTAACACAGGAAACATTTACCACACCAAATACAAACGAGAACCGACAAGGAGTGAGGGAGAACACAGGGTTTACATACACAGAGAACGGATCATGGGAACAAGACACAGCTGGGGCAAATTAACTAGAAACAGGTGAAGGAACTGAACACAAACGAGGAGCGGGAAAACTGAGATACAGGACTGAACCAAAACACAATGCAGGGGGAAACACAGGACACACATGTAACATAACGCCCCCTCCAAAAAGGCGCGTCCTCGCGCCGTATAACTTCAATAGGGGTGGGGGGGCGGGCGCCCTGGAGGCTGACGAGGGCGTGGCCTACCCTGAGCAGGAAGCCTCCAGGGCGGAGCAGGCTGGTCAGGGGGCCATGGCGGAGTAGGAGACCACCCCTCGGGCGGTCCTGGCGGAGAATCCCCTTCGGGCGGCCATGGCGGAGAATCCCCTTCGGGTGGCCATGGCGGAGACGCACCTTCGGGCGGCCATGGCGGAGACGCACCTTCTGGCGGAGACGCACCTTCGGGCGGCCATGGCGGAGACGCACCTTCGGGCGGCCATGGCGGAGACGCACCTTCGGGCGGCCATGGCGGAGACGCACCTTCGGGCGGCCTATATCCCCCCCCCAAAACTTTCTTGGGGGGAATCACAGGCTCTGGGACAGGCTCTGGGACGTGGACAGTCTCTGGGTGGGCAGAAGGGACATGGAAAGTCTCTGGCTGGGCTAGCGGTGAAGGCCCGGCTATGCTGGATGGAACCAGCGGTGAAGGCTCAGAAGGGCTGGACGGGACCAGCGGAGAAGGCTCTGAAGGGCTGGACGGGACCAGCGGAGAAGGCTCTGAAGGGCTGGACGGGACCAGCGGAGAAGGCTCTGAAGGGCTGGACGGGACCAGCGGAGAAGGCTCTGAAGGGCTGGACGGGACCAGCGGAGAAGGCTCTGAAGGGCTGGACGGGACCAGCGGAGAAGGCTCTGGCTCGGCCGGCGTGACGCGAAGCTCAGGCTCAGCAGGCGTGCAGGGAAGCTCAGGCTCGGCAGGCGTGCAGGGAAGCTCAGGCTCGGCAGGCGTGCAGGGAAGCTCAGGCTCGGCAGGCGTGCAGGGAAGCTCAGGCTCGGCAGGCGTGCAGGGAAGCTCAGGCTCGGCAGGCGTGCAGGGAAGCTCAGGCTCGGCAGGCGTGCAGGGAAGCTCAGGCTCGGCAGGCGTGCAGGGAAGCTCAGGCTCGGCAGGCGTGCAGGGAAGCTCAGGCTCGGCAGGCGTGCAGGGAAGCTCAGGCTCGGCAGGCGTGCAGGGAAGCTCAGGCTCGGCAGGCGTGCAGGGAAGCTCAGGCTCGGCAGGCGTGCAGGGAAGCTCAGGCTCGGCAGGGCTGCAGGGAAGCTCAGGCTCGGCAGGGCTGCAGTGGGGCGCTGGCGGGCAGGCGACGTGAAGCTGCTGTGCAGGCTTGGCTGGGCTGGACGGAACCAGCGGTGAGGGCTTGGCTGGGCTGGACAGAACCAGTGGTGCAGGCTTGGCTGGGCTGGACAGAACCAGTGGTGCAGGCTTGGCTGGGCTAAACAGAACCAGCGGTGCAGGCTTGGCTGGGCTGGACGGAACCAGCGGTGAAGGCTTGGCTGGGCTGGACAGAACCAGTGGTGCAGGCTGGGCTGGACTGAACCAGTGATGAAGGGTCGGCTGGGCTGGACGGGACCAGCGGCGGAAGCTCTGGTTCGGGATCTGTGCTGGACGGGACCAGCGGTGAAGACTCGGCCATCTTGGGTGAAGTAAGGGACACGGAGTTCTTGGAGAGGTATGCAGAGGGTTCCGGATCGAGGTGAACTGGGGCGCCTACATACTTCCGGATAGGAACTGAACGATGATTTTGACTATCTTCTGCATAGTCAACGAGGAAATCAGAACCATGTAATTCAAGGACATAATTAATAAAGTCCGGGACGGACTTATAACAATTATCCACGGAGATGAAATGGAATAAATTATCATCATCCAGTCCCATCCGGAAGCAGGCATTAATAGTGGAATTACCCCAGTTCACTAGATGGGAAACATCCAGGAACTTCTCAACATACCTCTCCAACGAACGGCCATTCTGCTGAATGTTGAAGAGTTTGTCTTCAGCCAAGTCCATCTCTGTTTTGGGTCGGTTCTTCTGTTACGGGTGTGGTGCTGGTTGAAGGAGAGGCAGCAGATCAAATTCAATAATCTTTACTCAATAAAACTTAACACAGGAATCCAGGAAACATTTACCACACCAAATACAAACGAGAACCGACAAGGAGTGAGGGAGAACACAGGGTTTACATACACAGAGAACGGATCATGGGAACAAGACACAGCTGGGGCAAATTAACTAGAAACAGGTGAAGGAACTGAACACAAACGAGGAGCGGGAAAACTGAGATACAGGACTGAACCAAAACACAATGCAGGGGGAAACACAGGACACACATGTAACAGTTACTTGAAGGAAGGCGATACCCGTGTGCTTAATTGTCATGATATTAAAGCAGTTTTTATCTTAAACA